TGTCCAAACGCTGATTCCATCTCACGATACCATATCGTGATATAGTATCGCATGGACAAACGCCTACTAAGACTTGTACTTATTTCTTTATTCCGCACTTTATGTATTTAATGGCTTGTACACGTGACAATCAGATTTTGGGTATTGTTTAGAATAAATATGTTTTGTGCCTTTGTCTTGTTCTTGCTTTATTGTCTTCCACATTTCTTTCGTTTTCGTTCAGTTGAGGTTGACTTGTCTTAGTGGAAATAGACAAGTGTCGTCAGGTCCAGTTTTGAATGTAACTCTCTATTTCTGATATTTTTAAAAAAATCATATTTTTCGATAATCGCAATAACAACTTACGATAATTTTAATCATCAGGAATTTCCAAGTAACTCTGTTTAGCAATCATATCTTTGTATCTATCATCTATGTATGTGATTTAGTTGATAACATCAATCAATATTTATTTCGTAAAAAACACCACACGTACGTATTGATCTAACTTGATCACTATTGTCTTAATTAATAATTAAGAACATTTTAGTTATAAAGACATGACTCTTTCATTATCATGTCTCCATCATAATCAAGTCTCAAAACGAAATCAAGGATTTTATCATTTCAATCAAATGATTTGATAATAATTATAACTAAAAATTTATTACATGTCATATACTTATATTAACAAACATTCATAAAAAAAATAATATGTTTTTTATCTGCTTCTCCCAAATAGGGAAATTTTTCAAAATGTCAATATTTTAGTATTTAATAGGACTCCTTAGCCACACTTTCAATATTTATTAAAAATGTCAATATTTTAATTTGTTATGTATTTGATTTATGTTTTTTTCTTTGATTTAATTAAAAGAATACACTTATTTAATAACAGAAATGAGAAATTTAGGGGAGAGAATAATTTTTTAAAAAAAGAACATATCACTTAAAATTCTCATAAGTTACAAATTTAAAAATAAACGCATAGCACCCATTCCTCTTCTTCATCAAATTCTCCAATATCAATTGTTAAATTTCCATTGATACTACTCAATTTCTGTTGAAGTGAATTCGATTAAATTTTATTTTTCTGTTTGGGAAGAAATTTTTGAAATACAAATCAATTTAGAATACAAATTTGGAATACAAATCAGTTTAGAATAAAACTTTTGTTTAAATCAAAATTTAAAAATAAAAGTGAATAATTAATTTGATGAACAATTAAGAAACGACTTTAGAATACAATTTTTGAAATACAAAATCTAGTTTAGAATACAATTTTTTTTGTTTAATCAAAAGTTAAAATGAAACTATATGAGTACAAATAATTGATATACAACATACAAATACATTTATTTTGAATACAAATATAGTTAATAATTGAAGTTGAACATAACATACAAAATGAATGATTTGAATGCACATGAATACAATACAATATTACCTAAAAATACAATTAAAATTTAAAGAATACAACATACATATTAGTATGAATACTTATAATTTCATTCAAACAAATGCAATGTTCTGAAAATATAATTGACATATGAAAAATACAACTGACAATACTAATATGAACACAAATTAAATAGTAGTGAGGTTGATAAAAATATAGACCCAAAAGAAAATTCACTAAATAAACGATTTTATATTGAAGCACAAAAATACATAAAAGACTAAAAATATACAAATCAAAACTAAAAAATATTGATATGAACTTAATAAATACTAATCCAATAAGAATTTATCCGATAAATGATAATCTGATGTAAATATACTGATATGAACTTAATAAATATAAATCCAGTAAGAAGTTATCCGATCAATTGATAATTTGATGCATATCTTTTGTATAATTCTTTTTCATTTTGAAAAAAAAAAAAAAAAGAAGAAGAAAGAATCTGGACGGAGAGAGGGGAATAAAAATAAGGAAAAATTACAGAAATCCCACCTTTTAGTTTACTTATTACCATTATCTCCTACAAGTTTTACAAATCTCCAAAATCTCGCATTTTTGCGCGTCAGATTAGTGTATTAGCGCTTATATTATTGTATCTCGCGCATCAAATTAATGTATCAGCGCTTATATTATTGTATCCGTTTGAGGGATTTCTATAATTATAAACTTTTAAGGGATAAATTGTAATTTTATCTTAAAAGTATGTGATTTTTGTAATTTGCCCTAAAAATAATGAATAGAGAGAAGGTGGGGTTGAAGGAGAGTGAAAATTGTGGCTGAAGGGGAGCGAAAATAGGATTTATTTTAGGAGGATAATTATAAACATATAATTTGCTATTATGAGAGAGATAAAAATTAAATTAAAAAAATATGAGAGAGAATATGATGGATACACTTTATTTGCTAAAATATTAACATATTGACATTTTAAATAATTATTTTAAAGTATAAATATTTTTAATAATTATATTAGGAATTTTGATTAGTTAGCTAATCACTGGCCCATTGTTCACCCATCAATAAATGGGCCTGCAGATTCTGACAGTGGAAGCTCTATTGTTTTCTAGTCCGCCACTTGGTTGGATATGAAATTTACTTCGTAAGAGCAGTACGAACGTAGATGATTTTATTTTATTTTTAAATAATTAATTTAATTTGTCAATTTATTTTATAACTTTTTTATAAATATATATTTAATTTTTGTTTTTATAGATAATTTTTTTTGTAAATAACACATGAATAATTCACTCAATTCCTGCACAATCCATACGTAAGGTAGAAATTGGCTTGCAACTTGTAAGTTAAAGAAACGATAACTTAAAGGACAAAGTATAAAATAAAATAAAGAGGAGGATAATTCTATTAATTCTTTTTATTTTTTTAAATTCCTTCCTAGGAGACCTGGTTCTATCATATATGTTCTTTATCGTCCTAATATAAGCTATCGGGACACCTCTAGGCTCTAGCCTCCAAGCATATCTAGAGAGCATTTTGCGAAACTTTGTCATAAGCCTTTTCAAGTTCAATGAACATCATATGTAGGTCTTTCTCTATACTTCTTTACCAGTCACCGCACAAGATGGATGACTTTAGTAATCAATTGTCTTGACATGAATCCAAATTGATTCTTGAGAATGGACACCCCTCTCCTCACCCTCATATCCATCACTCTCTCTCACCTTCATCATGTACCTTAATAATTTGATACCCTGTAATTATTACAATTTTCAATATCATCATTGTTTTTGTACAAATGAAACCATTGTACTCCACTTTCATTCATCAGGCATTTTTGTCATCATAAAAATAACATTAACCAACCTAATTAACCATGTCATGCCTACCTTGTGTGTGCTCTTCAAAATTCCATTGAAATCTTGTTGAGACCGGTCGTTCTTCCCTTACTCATCGTATTAATAGCATATTTAACCTCATCAACCCTAAAAGACGTACAATACCTAAAGTCTCAGTGTCTTTCAGGGTGGACTAAATCACCCAGCACAATATTTTTGCCCCTTTCTTCAAAACTAATGTTGGAGTCAACAACAAAATTGTATGTGTTCGATTATATACTTATTACAAAGAATATTTGGGGTAATGATTCGTGCTTGAATGTATTGGAATTCAATTTCAAAAGTGAAAAGTACATTGAAAAATAAAATTATCAGTTTCAACAACAAAAACAACAAAAAAGTAAGTTCAAAAATAACATTAGCAACATGTCCATTGCAATCCCACAAGTAAGGTATGAAGAAGTAGTGTATACACAGACCTTATCCCTACCTTGAGAGATAGAAAAGTTAATTTTGATAAACCCTTAACTCAAAGACAAGTATACCAAAGCAGTTCCAAAAAAAAAATAACATTAGTGAATAAGTCATGATAAAATACTAAAGATAACATGACAAAACATTATTAAAAATATAATAATAACTACAACATAATGATACAATAACGAAGTGCAAGAAACAATAAATAGTAACTAAAATCAAAATACAAAAACCAACATATGCATAGTCCTAAAAAAAAGGGGGGGGAAGGGGAGAGGGGGGGGAGGGGGGGATTACGCGAAAAAGCAAACATATACTGGTTAACTAGCTAACATAGCTATAGTTTGAATTAATTACCACCGGCGGCCTCTTTTTGGCTATAATTATGTGTGTCTCTCTCCTTTTTTCCTCTCTCTAGCCTCTCTCCTCTCTTATACATATACAAATATAAATACAAATTATACATATACATGTATAATTATATAACATATATACAAATACACTTCGCCTCTCTTCACTATCTGTCCTCTATCCTCCCTCTCCCAATCTTGCTCGTCAATTATACAAATACATACCAATAACATATATATTATATGACAGATATACATATACAATTCAACAGATATATAAATACAATTCACCGCTCTCCACTCTCTGCCCTCTCTCACTCGTCTCTCTCCCACTCTCGCTCGCTTCTCTCCTCCCTCTAACATGTAGTTACGAATCGTAATTAGCAAATCATAGTTTGAATTAATTGCCACTGGCGACCTCTTTTTGGCTATAATTATGTGTGCCTCTCTCCTTTTTTTCCTCTCTCTAGCCTCTCGCCTCTCTCCTTTCTTATAGATATATAAATATAAATACAAATTATACATATACATGTATAATTATATAACATATATATGAATACACTTCGCCTCTCTTCACTCTCTGTCCTCTATCCTCCCTCTCCCAATCTTGCTCGTCAATTATATAAATACATACGTATATCAGTTACATATATATTATATGATAGATATACATATACAATTCAACAGATATATAAATACAATTCACCGCTCTCCACTCTCTGCCCTCTCTCGCTCGTCTCTCTTCCACTCTCGTTCACCTCTCTCCTTCCTCTAATATGAAGTTCGTAATTAGCAAATCATAGTTGTAGAACCTAATTAAGTTATTTTTAATATCTATTTGCAAGATTTCCTTTTTTTTAGACAATTATTTTTATGACCAATCAAATCCTTAGCCACCCCTTGAAAAGTCTTTATATATATAAAATATTAAGATAAAAGCAAAATGCACCCGGGTGCAAACCTAAATGTACTAAAAAAGAAGAAACTTCTCTTTCTTTCTATACACAATAATGGCTGCCCTTTCTCAGCTGTTAGCTCATATCTACACCATGACTCTAGTCTTCTTCACCATTCTAATCCTCGAACTCGTAATCTTTGTACGCTCCATAACCGACACAATCTCCGATTCCGGCCGCGGCCGCCCCATCACCACCAAGCAATACCTCAAACTCATCGATGAAAAAAACCCGGTCAGCCAGTTCAAAACCGCATCAATCAACCCGGCCGGTTTTCCCGATACCTGTGCGGTTTGTTTATCGGCATTTGAAGACGGCGAACAAGTACGGAAGTTGAAATGCAAGCATATATTTCATAAGGATTGTTTGGACACGTGGCTCCAACAGGATTCTGCCACGTGTCCACTCTGCCGGAATAAGGTGCTGCCGGAGGAAATTGTGGTTAAATTCCGGCAGCACCGCAACCACCAGACGGAGTATGAAGGGAGTGATGAGGAGCTCATTTTTTTGTTATCTGCATTACATGGTAATTATATTCGTAGATTTTTGTAAAATTATTAGAAAATTTTTGTAATTTTTTTTTTTTTTTTGTATATAAAAAGATTTAGAATATTAAAAAAAGAAAATAATTGAGTGTGCTTCATACACTTGGGGATTTCTGGTTGGTTAATTGTGCCAGATAGATAATTTAGAGATTTTATCCTACTTTGAGTGTCGGTAATATTAACTAAAAATTGTAATTAAATTATTTTATTTTATTTTAAAAAAAAAAAGAGGTAGTGTTGATAATATGTATAGATTTGTTTGATAACATTATCTGGCAAGTGTTGAAAAATTGTTGGTCATGCTCAGAATAGTGGTGGCCTACAAAAAGTTTGGCATGGAGTAATTAATTAAATTAATTTAAAAGAATGGTAGGTGAAATGCTTGAAATTATTTTGAATTGATAGCTCTAAAAAAAAAATACTTTGATGATATTTCAAAAAATAAAATGTTTAAAATGTAAAGAAAAAGTAAAAATGGCTTTAAATTATGGAATAAAAATGTCATCCGTTAAAATTTAATCCAAATCGCTTTTGTTGTTAATATTTTGAACAAAAATGCTCATATTGTTAATTTTGGTTCAAAAACATTTTTTTCTTAATAAATATATTGTGTTTTTTTAAAACACATTAACTTGCTAATAAAACATTATTTTTCTTATTTTTTGTCTTCTAAATTTCTTTCAACTTTAAGATAAAAGTGGTAAGTACTCATTTTTCTTCTGAATCTTATTTTGTCAAATAAAACCGAATTACCCCATATATTTTTTATACTAATTCACAAAATTTAAGAAGAAAAATATAAATTTTATTGTTATCTAATTGAAAATTAAAAAAAATGATTGGTTACAATATTTTTATTAGGAAAAGATTGTGTTTAAAAAGAAAAGGAAATAATATGTTTATTTAAATTTTTAAAAAAAGTGACTCAAAAGTAACAACAAAGACATTTTTGGATCAAATATTATTTTTTGGACTAAACTAAATTATTAACTGAGAATATTCTTAATCAATTTCACATAATTTAAAAATATTTTTGACCTTTTTTTTTTTTGTTTAAAATGAATCCTAAGGGCTAAGATAGGGAAGTTCTTTTATGATTTTTTTTTAAAAAAAAATAGTAACTATTCTATTTATGAAACGGGAGGAGTTATAGTGTTACATCAAGAGCTTTTTTTTATGTTTAATTATTTGATAGTTTAAGACTTTAAGTAGTGAATACAAATATATTTATGTCCACCTTTTGTCAAACTTGATTAAAAAAAAAGTTCTCAAAACTCAAGAAAGGACTTTTTCTTTTAATAAGTTAAAGAATAAATGAAAATAAAAATCTATTTTTAAAATAGAAGTGAGTTGTGGATATGGGTGTTCAAAACGGAATAGTAATCAATAAGTCAATCACAAAATTAATTTATTGGCTTATCGATACTAGGTTATTGAATAAACAGTTGGTGAACGGATTAGAATTTTATAATTAACAACTTATTGGTGTGGGGGTGGATTATTCAATTTTCTTATTGGATAAATCATTAACTCATTACCATACAAACAATTTAAACTTAGGTATATTAGCAACATTTAATATTTTTCCATAATATATAATTATATGTTATTAGTCCTAAGGTAGCAAAGCTAAAAATTTGAAAATATATTTACTTTCCTATTATTCACTATTACATTATTATAAATCTATAGTAGAAGAATTTTTTAACTGCATTTAAAATAGAAAAAAATAAGTCATTTTTTAAAGGTGCGTTCATGGAGAAAAGAAAAAGGTAGAGGTTAACCGATATATCATTCGATAACCGTTCGATAAGTACTAATTCATTATCGAATCAATAATATCTTATAGATTAGCTAGAGAATTAGTAAAATTAAATACCGACTTGAACAAGGAAAGCGGTTCAAGCCCAGCTTGTGAAAAGGCCTTTGCTATTAAAGGAGAATTAGCCTTCTCTTTTTTATGTCACTTCCAGTGAAGGTCGGGTATGTGCCGTTACATGCAAGATCTTCATTCCTTTCACCGGAGGTAGCACTAGTCAAAGAGGGAGACTCTGTTCAAAGCGTTGCTATGGTCAATAAACAGCCTTAAAGTGTTTCCGAATGACCTTGAGGAATTAAAAATTGATATTCATTAGGTCAAACCTTTAAGCGAAATTATCCGTTTGATCCATTAGATAAGTAGCCCTAGTTGTGGGAATAACATAAAAAGAAATTATGGGTATGAAGTCGTTTTTGTTAGAAAATGTTTTATCCTTAATGTGAAATATTTTAACATAAATTTAAATTTAATCAAACTTTAAAATAGATATAGGATGAAACAGAAAAAATAAAATCAAACCATATAATTTAGCACTTTGTGATGGGTTTGACAACTATAGAAATTCCAAAAACAAAAAAAACTACTTAGAAAAACATATTTAGTTACGTGTCCTCATCTAATACTTATGACAAACAGCTGGCAAAACTTTTAAAACAGTTGTACAATTTGGCTAAATATCTAAAATAGCCTCTCAAATTTGGCTAAATATCTAAAATAGCCTCTCAAACTTGGTAAATTAAGCACTTAAATTTAGATTAATAACCATTTGAAAAATGACAAGTTTTCATAAGTGTGTCCTGCGAAGAGCGGTGTTGTGACGTGTCTAGTAATGGATGGTCAGTCGAACACTTTATCAAAAAATTATATTATCTGTATAAATAATTGTAAACTATACCTAATTGGTTTAGTTCTTTGAGCTGGTCATAAGTTTATAAAAATTAGGGGTGTTCATGGTTTTGATAAAAACCGATCCAAACCGAAAAACCAAACCAAATCGATTAAATGAACCGATTTAATCTGGGTTTTGGTTTGATTTGGTTTTAGATTGTTAAGAACCGATAATATTTTGTTTGGTTATGGTTATGGTTTTGTTCGAAAAAAATCGAAGAAATAATCGAACCGAACCAACAAGTTATATACATAAATTTTATTATTATACATACATAATATATTATATTCATAAACAATTTTAAAGATTTTATATATGTTTCATCAAAATTTTATTTTTATAATTTACTTATGAAAGAAAAAATGTCCAAGGTGAGAACATTTTTCTTATTGGTTTCATGTATATGAGTGTCTATGAAAATTCTTTGTGGGACTAAAAATGTCATTGTCTCTTCCTTCTATGCCAAAATAGTGAATTTTGAAGTTTTATTCAGTAAATTCAATGATCGAAAGTTCTGTAATGCCAGTCATTCTAACTATTTTTTTGTTTGAATGGATTGTTGTCACTTTTTTCACGTTTTGAATGAATTATTTATTTTATTTTTATGTATGGTTAATAACCGAATAACCAAACCAAACCAAACCAAAACCGAAAACAACCAAACCGATAAATGTATATTATATTTGGTTTGGTTTGGTTTTGATAATTTTAAAACTGATTAAGTTGGTTTGGTTTTGATTTTGACCAATAACCGACCCAAACAAACCGTGAACACCCCTAATAAAAATAATGTTTTATGTATTTAACAGTTCTAATCTTTTAAATTTGTTACAATTTAATTTTATTTTATTTTCATCAAAAATATTTATCAAATTCTATTGGTTATATTTTTTGGAAATCATGGGGGAAAAAATCGCGAGAACTTAAATTTAAAGGTACATACTACTAAAAAAGGTCAAATACTCAGAAATAAATCAACAAAAATTTATTGGTTTTATATGAAAAAACAGACGGACTTCAAAAAATCGGAAAAGAGTGCCTCGAACAAAAAAAAATCAAGAGAATCCATCATCCATGTAAAATATACTTATTCAGACTTTTATTAAAAAAATTATATAAAAATCACTTTTAAAAGAATATGAAATATAATTGATAATGCCTTAATTGTTCCAACAAATTTAAATTATTGGCCAGGATATCAAGAACATCAAGTAACATAAAAAGACATCATCACATCAAGCCATATAATTTAGCACTTTAATTATTTGAAAATTCCATAGACAAAAACTTCTACTAGAAAAAAACATATTTAGTGACGTGTTCATCTACTACTTATGACAAACAGCTGGCAAACCTTTAAAATGAGAGAAAAGTACTCCAAATTTTATTAATTTCGTATTTGAATTATTCACAGTATTAAAAACATATATATTTAATTAAATAAACTTAGATACAATCTTAATACACCTTCGATAAAAAATAGAGAAAAGTGTTGAAAACATCTGTAAACTTAGCAAGAATTTAATAGTATATTTCATTCATGTTGTAATATCAGGGGTGTACTTAAGTTCGATTAATCAAGAAAATAAATGTTTTTAAGGCTATCAATAATTTAAAAATGAAACTAATAATTTACGCCGAGTTTAGAACTAATTCTAATATTTCTCTCTTAAAATAATAATCACGTTGTACAACTTCTCTTTCATAAAATTTGGCTAAATATCTAAATTAATCTCTCAAATTTGACAGAGCTACTAGGTTAAACACTTAAATTTAAATAAATAACAATTTGAACACTTGTATTATTTTTAAATGTGTCCTGGAAACACCTATATCTTACTTAGTATATAATTTATTATAAATTGTAATTCCTTAATTTAAAATTACACATGTCAAACGGTTGTGAAATATTTAAGTGTATAAGTGATTATCACTCATTTGGTGTGTATCTATAGAGAAAATGAGAAAAATGACTCTTAATGTTTGAGTTTGAGGGTAGGTTTAAAATTGTTCTCTTAACATACATATACATATAGTTAGTCATAAGTTTATAAAATTGATCTCTTAGTTATGCACTTAACAGTTTTGAGAATTTAAATCTGTCAAAACTTAATACTTTTAGTTTTCGGTAAAAAATATTTATTGAACTCTATCTATTAAATTTTCTTTAAAAAAATTAGTGAGAATATATTTAAAAGTATATACTGCTTTAAAAAATTGAGGGACAAAATCAACGAAAATCTATCGGTTATAGGGCAAAATCGAGGAGAAATCAACGGACTTCAAAATGTTTGAAAAATAATGCCTCGAAACACAAAATTACGAAAATTTATCATCTAGATAGAATACACTAATCTTGATTTCTACTGAAAAATAAA